AAACTCTCATCCGCTGATCTCACTGGCGCGACCTTCACAGTCAGCAACATTGGCAGCATAGGCGGCGGTGCTGTGGCACCTGTCATCGTTGGACCCCAAGTTGGTATTTTGGGTATCGGGAAAGCGAGAGTGGTTCCGGCGTTTGGGATGAACGACGAACTGATCAAGAGGGAGGAGTGTGTGTTTAGCTGGAGTGCTGATCATAGGGTAGTGGATGGCGCGTATGTAGCGAGGGCGGCAGAGGAGGTGAGGAAGTGCTTGGAGGGTGTTGAGGCGATGCTTGTTAGGATGCGGTAGGGGTGGGAAATAGATGCATAGTAAAAGCGAAGAAACACTTTACTTCATACTCCCGCGACTATCGTCGATCATTTGGTGGTGTATTTGGTCGTCAACGGTTCTAGTGGGTTGTGTTTGAGCGACATCGTACTGAATTTGTGGCTGTTCTACAACCAACTTGCTGCTATCGTCCGTAGAGTAGGAGCTAGTGTTTGCCGTTGCCTTTGAAAAACTCGGTGGCAAGAGCAAACACTTTGGTAGACTCTTTCTAGTCTTCCCAACCCCTCATCCCGATTTTTTGAATCAATCTCATGACCATGACGAAGTACCGACAGCCCACTCAAGCCGCGCCCTTCAGCACCTGCTCAAGGCTGTTCTTGCTGTTCGTATACGTCTTCTCAAGGTAATCCTCCTTCTTATCCAGATTGCTCATCTCCTTGTTCAAAGCCTCACTCTCCTCCTGAAGCCTCTTCTGCACATCTGGAATAGGCGTGCAGACGAACCTGTTCATAGCAATCAGTCTCTGCATTTCATCTCATCCCACTTCCTCCCCCGCAGTCGCGAGGGGCAAATAGCGAGACATGCAACTTACATCTTGCCCACACCCTCATACACCTTCGTCTCTGCAGGCAGCGACGAGACTTCCGAGGAAGTGAGTTGCAGCATACGTCCCTCTCGTGTCCGGGCTGCTTTTTGCTGTTTGACAATGACGAGTTGTTGCTCGGCGAAGGCCTTCTTTTGGCTAATTTCTTGTAGGACCTGGATGTTTCCCGCGTTAGATCCTAGCTCTTTCCTCTCATCAGTCACGGAACTTTATGACGCACCTTCTGCAAGGCCTCGTTTGACATGGACATGGTGGGCGGAGATTTGGTAATGTTGACGATTGGCTCGTAGGTCTCGTGAGAGCGCTGGCCTGGCTGCTGCTTCTCAAGCTTTCTCGGTTCGGCAGTTGCGAGAGACCCTGGGTGGACGTGATTGGCTGTTTGGATTCACCACCGAAAACTGCACCGCGAGCTTGCAGCCTCGGGAGCCAAGCTTTCCGACGTGTGCGAGAGGTATACGTCGGCGGCAGGAATGTGTACTGGGGGTGATTCCTTTTGCGCAGTAATCCTTACTGTTTGCCCACGTGTGGCGTGGTAGTCTGGCAGCCTATCGCTGGAGCATGGGCCTCTCGTGTCGCGGATTGTCGCTCTCCAGTCTTTCCTTCCGCAAAAGCCGGTGCTAGATACAAGCTTGATAGCGAGGTCAAACACCTGCAGTTTCTCTTCCCTCAACCTCTCACTCCTTTCTTTTTCTCTTTTCGGGATTTTTGTAGAGTGAAGATGGCCGCGTTCCTTTCTCGTCTACCGTCGATACCGTACCCGCCTGAACAAGATGGGTTCTTCTCCCCGGTCACCTCTACGCTCGATTGGTGTGAAGAGGTTAGTTGAGAGGGTCATTGCGTTGGAGAAGCGCGTGCTAACCGTTTGAAGAATTATGTAGTCACGCAGTACTCTGCGGAGATTATCAACACGCTCACGAATCTTCTGTTCATGTACCTCGCTGCAAAAGGCATACGCAATTGCTTGAAGAATGGACATGACACCGTCTTTCTCGTGGCGTTTATTGGCTATCTACTGGTTGGAACTGGGAGCTTTCTCTTTCACGCGACATTGAAATGTATGTTCACTGCTGAATCAAGCGTTTACATGCAGTATCTGATTCGTGTTAGATCCTATGCAGTTGGTAGACGAGCTTTCGATGATCTACACGACTTGCTTGATGAACTTTGCGACGTTCTCTTATGGCAAGTCAAGGCTGTACTCTACGGTTCTTGCAATTGGACTTGTGTCTCTTGCCGCCTTCATTACGCTCTACTACCACTTCCTCCAGGACCCCACCTTCCATCAGAACGCCTATGCGATTCTCACAGCGATTGTCCTGTTCCGCGCCATGTATGTAATGGAGGTGAACATCCGCCCGCGCTTCAAGTCCAAGGAAAGGGAAGCAGCGAACCCGCGGCCGCACGGAGGTGTGAAGGCGGTACAAGAGAGAGAAGACGTGCGCGACCAGGAAATTCTCAGTAAGATGTGGCAGATGATTGCATTCGGCCTCAGCATCTTCCTGGGAGGCTTTGCTGTCTGGCACCTCGACAACGTGCATTGCTCGCAGTTGATCCAGTGGCGGAGGGAGATTGGTATGCCCTGGGGTTTCGTGCTCGAGGGTCATGGCTGGTGGTGAGTACTGCATTGATCTTTGAAAGACGAGAGCTCACGATACCAGGCATCTCATGACGGGAACCGGAGCTTACTACTACATTGTATGGGGCGTATGGCTGCGACACTGCCTCAACTACAGGCAGGACGAGTACGAGCTCTACTGGCCCAACTTCTGGACGATGCCGCAGGTTGTCAAGCGACAGGCAGGTGGTCATGCAAATGGCTCAACGAAGAAGGAGCTATAGGCGGTGACGACGTGGAGTCTTGGGCAGGATTAGGTTCGCGTGTCAGGGAGGATTTATGCATGTGCTTTGCAAGATCAGCGTTGTGCGGTGTTCCGCGCTGCGAACGACAATACGGATAGGCGAATTTGATAGGGGATGGGACGGGAACAACAAATCCGCAACCGCCTCTAGTAGCACGTCTATCACGACATGAAACCAACCAGTAATACAAGATACTGCAAAGCGACGAAGCCATTCGACAGCAACGACTTGTGCCTTGCTAGTGCAGCTGTACATGTTCATGACTAGCCCCTTCAGCCGGCAGGCACCAGCTTTGGCGCGTTGTTAGTAAATAGCTCTAGCGCCGACGGCCCGTGCAGACGACCCACAGAGATCTTTAACGCACTCACCGCTTCTGCTCCTCCTGCTCTCCACACCAGCACCACCACCAGCGACCAGCCATAACCCAGCTCCTCGCATCTTCACCTCTCCAACTTCCATATTCCTCGCCCCCAACCGCCAACATGCGTGAGATTGTACGTATCGCCCGCACTGCCGCCTAGTCGTGGCGCGTCGCTGCCCCGCGCCGAGACTCAGGGACAACACAAAGAACAACAGCTAACGACGTTTCTCTGCAACAGGTGCACCTTCAGACCGGTCAATGCGTAAGTTTTGATATCGCTCCTCTGTGTACGGACGACAGCTAACAATTCCCAGGGTAACCAAATCGGTGCCGCCTTCTGGCAGACCATCTCCGGCGAGCATGGCCTCGACGGCTCCGGTGTCTACAACGGCACCTCGGACCTGCAGCTCGAGCGCATGAATGTCTACTTCAACGAAGTGCGTCCCCCGATTACGCTTTTGGCAGATAAAAGACCAATACTGATCTACAGCAGGCGTCCAACAACAAGTTCGTGCCCCGTGCCGTCCTCGTCGACCTCGAGCCCGGTACCATGGACGCCGTCCGCGCCGGCCCCTTCGGCCAGCTGTTCCGCCCCGACAACTTCGTCTTCGGCCAGTCTGGTGCCGGTAACAACTGGGCAAAGGGTCACTACACCGAGGGTGCCGAGCTCGTCGACCAGGTCCTCGACGTCGTGCGCCGCGAGGCCGAGGGCTGCGACTGCCTCCAGGGTTTCCAGATCACCCACTCCCTCGGAGGTGGTACTGGTGCCGGTATGGGTACGCTCCTCATCTCCAAGATCCGTGAGGAGTTCCCCGACCGCATGATGGCCACCTACTCCGTCGTGCCCTCCCCCAAGGTCTCCGACACCGTTGTCGAGCCCTACAACGCCACACTCTCCATCCACCAGCTGGTTGAGAACTCCGACGAGACCTTCTGCATTGACAACGAGGCTCTCTACGACATCTGCATGCGCACCCTCAAGCTGAACAACCCCTCGTACGGCGACCTGAACCACCTCGTCTCCGCCGTCATGTCGGGTGTCACCACCTGCCTGCGTTTCCCCGGTCAGCTCAACTCCGACCTGAGGAAGTTGGCCGTCAACATGGTTCCCTTCCCCCGTCTCCACTTCTTCATGGTCGGATTCGCTCCCCTCACCAGCCGCGGCGCCCACTCCTTCCGCGCCGTCACCGTTCCCGAGCTCACCCAGCAGATGTTCGACCCCAAGAACATGATGGCTGCGTCCGACTTCCGCAACGGTCGCTACCTGACCTGCTCCGCCTACTTCCGTGGTAAGGTCTCCATGAAGGAGGTCGAGGACCAGATGCGCAACGTCCAGAACAAGAACTCCTCCTACTTCGTTGAGTGGATCCCCAACAACGTCCAGACCGCCCTCTGCTCCATCCCTCCCCGCGGCCTCAAGATGTCCTCCACCTTCGTCGGTAACTCGACCTCCATCCAGGAGCTGTTCAAGCGTGTCGGTGACCAGTTCACTGCCATGTTCAGGCGCAAGGCTTTCTTGCATTGGTACACTGGTGAGGGTATGGACGAGATGGAGTTCACTGAGGCTGAGTCCAACATGAACGACTTGGTCTCCGAGTACCAGCAATACCAGGAGGCTTCCGTCTCCGAGGGTGAGGACGAGTACGACGAGGAGGCTCCTCTCGAGGCTGAGGAGTAAGCTGGTCATGGCTGACGTCCCGCTGGACTTGGTTGTTGGAATATTTCACGTGTGGACACGAGCGTTGTAATTCGATTCGTACTTTGAGCGACCTGGCTATGATCCGACATGTTGCGAAAGTGACTAGACAGACATGGCAGGCGCCTCAGCTTCTTGTTAGCGAAAAGATGCTATAATCAGATATTGTCCACTAAACAGTGTATTGTGTGTATTACGTCCTACTAATCTCCTTCGCCATGTTCTCTCAGGTGTTCTAGGTAACCTACGAGTCTCTTCTTGATAATCACACCCACGAGTTGTCCTGTGCCCTCTTTAGTTACCATGAGATATCTCAGACCCAACCTGGAGAACATCTCCACAGCATATTCCAGAGGCGCTTTCGCACAGATGCTCAGTGGCGTCCGATCCACAAAGGGCGTCAAATCCATCTCCAAGCTCATTGGGCTCGTCGGCTCATCAATCTCCTGGCCCAGCAACCTGACCTGAATATCGTCTTCCTGCGTCGACACAAGCACACCAGGAACGAGTTTCGTCAATCCAAAATCAAGCTCCGACTGCGATATATAGCCCTGCAGCACTTCAACGCCGCCACCATTCTTCTGTACTAGAACCAGACCCGCGTCCATGAGACCCCGTTCTCTCAACGCATCAAGCTTCTCTTTCAGCAGAGTCAAAGCCACTTTATTGCTCGTAGGTACGTGAACGGTAATGTCATCCATGGTGCGTTGAGGGGGTATGAGCACCTCGACGCAGGCTTTGTGGCGGCGGACGATGGATAGAGCGGTGTCTGGGTCGAGGAAAGGGTGAGAGAGGAGTGATTGAGCGAGGTCGTAGACGCCTTCTGACGAGATTGCGTCGGCGACCCATTTTGCGGTTAGGATGGCGAGCATAGACGGGACGGTGTAGGAGAGCTGGCCTGTGAGTTCGAACATCTATACAGAGCGTTAGTTGACGACGACGACTACTGAAAGAAAGTGGAGTTGAGCACTTACTATAACAGCAAGGGAAATGGTCATCCGAGACACACCCGCCAGAAACGCAGCAGCACCCACCATGGCGAAGATGCCAGGACTGATCGAACCAATGGCCTGACCCACCAGCCTCCCAAAGAAAGCACCCGCATCCAGCGCTGGAATGATAACCCCAGACGGAACCTTGATCCCAAACGTAATAGTAGTAAGAACAAGTTTCGCCAACGTCCCATACGTCAACCAACCCACATACTCCCAATTCGTCGTCCCCCTTTCCCTAGCAACCCTCTCATTCCGACAAACCCAAGACGCGCTCGACGTATCTTCCCCACAATCCACCAACAAATTCTTAATAATAACATCCCCCGGCTCCCTTGTCAACGGATTAGGATACTGAACCAACGCCGTCGCCAGCACCACCAACGCAACCTCCAACACAGGATTCCTCTTGATAACGCCAAAAGCCCTAAACCACTTCGACCACAGGAAATTGAACTTGCAAAACAGGCCGCCGAAGATACCGCCCGCTACGCCCAAGAGGACGAAAACGAAGTAATGGATGACTTGGTATTCGTCACCGAATTGCGATTCAAAAAGCACCAGTTTCCCCGTGCCGGTCGGATTGAGTTCCTTGAGCACCATCGCCGCAGTAAGACTACACAGAAAAGCCCTCCACAGCACTTTCCTAGGAAAGTACGTGCTAATCTCCTCGTAACTGAACAGCACGCCTCCGATCGGCGCACCGAACGCTACTGACAGTCCCGCTGAGCACGCCGCGCTGAGCAGCTCTCGCATCTTGCGGCCATTGGATGCGTATTTAGGAATTAGACGTCCGACTAGGTGGCCGATGCAGGTGGAGATGTGGACAAAGGGGCCTTCTTTTCCTAGACAGAGCGATGAGGATACGGCGAAGATTGCGCCGAGGGATTTTACGAGGAGGACGGGCAGGGAGAGGAAGGAGGGGATGGAGAAGCCGGAGAGGATGGTTTTTATTTCGGGGATGCCGGAGCCGGAGGCTAGGTACATTACTTTGCCTTGGACGGTTGGCGTGGTGGGTGGGTTGTCTGAGGGCGGGGAAGAGGTGGTGGTGGTGTGGCCGTTGCTTGCGTTCTTCGTGGTGGAGTTGGAGGATGAGGTGGATGGGAGGGTAGACCGAGTTAACATGGTTAGGCTCGAACTTATGATACCGAATGCCATCGCCATGGCTACGTAGATTGCAAAACTGCTCTTGTAGTCTTTGCTCCAGACTTTCCAATCTGCACATTCTTCCCCCTTCTCTTTCATCAAAAACGGCGACGGGCTCTTCTCAGCAGCAATACAGCAGTTTTCTCTGTTCCGCAAGAAATGGCCAGAGCAATACCCGGTTTTCCAGTCCGAAACAGTCACGACAGCAATGTCAACGAGGAAGGCGATACATGCTGTCAATGCGCCGATGACTACTACGGCGAGCCAGCCTGAACTGGCGTCGAGGAGTGTGAGCAGTTTGTAGCGCAGACCAGGATGGGAGTAGAGGGCGCGGTAGCGGTAGGAGTCTTTGACCTGGGTGCGTGTTAGCACATACACATACTTACAGAGGACAGTTGATGGGATGTGTTAGTACCAAATCGTGTAGCCAGTCAATGGTGGTGTAATCATTGTATGGCAATCGTTCTCCAACTGGACTTTCTGCCAACTGCTGTTCTTCTTTGGTTACCGTGGACGCGATGATTGAGGAAGCTTCTTCATCTTGTTCGTGTTGAAGATGGGATAGTCGGGCTTGGTGGAGGAGAGGAGTACGTTCGTATCCGTTTTCTTCGTCAGAAGCCATGGCTGTAGATTTGAAAGAGGTATCAAGGAGAGTAAATAGAAGACAGCATGATGCAGATAACTGAGGTACATATCGAAGCTCCAAGGTGGCTTGCCCAATGACGCAGGCAGGCACATCCCGTACGCACGCTTATCTGCCGCGGAAATAGATCTACTCGCAAAGCCTGGGGTAAACGTTGTGGGATGGGATGATTGCTGGGCTTGGCTGGGGGTAGTAGAGATAAGGAAAGCACGCTAGATGATTGGTGCGCAAAGTCACTTCCTGTACACCTACACCAACTCTCAATACTTGCGATTGCATTAGAATAAACCACAATCGCAGAAGACGCATTGCAGTACTCTGAGAAACTACATGGACATGTCTCTGTTACAGAAATCTTACCATTTCCAACCTTGAACCCACCGCCTTGAACCAGAACACCAGGTGAGGTCCAATATCCAGACTGAACATACACGGTATCATGGAGGCCCAAATCATGACTGACAAAGGAAATCGATGCGGCTCTGAGTAGAGAGGTGATGGAGAAGTAGGCGCTACAAGCGATTGCCGCTAGACGTATTATGCGGATGCCGCAGCGTTCTTCTGAGCAGCGTAGGCGTCTGTGTATTTCTATGGATATGTTAGAGCCTGTATCAACGTCGCATTTGTTATGCATACCTTCTTCTCAGCCGCGCCCAAAGACTTCCACTCCTGGGAGATGAGTTTCATAGCCTCGAGAGGGGAAATGTTCTTGAAGTCTCCAGACGCAAACCTTTCTTTGACAAAGGCGGCATAGGCGGGTATCACTTTGTTCACATGACGCTCATCGACAAGCTTGGCAGTATGAGCAGGAGCCTTCTTCTTTTCACTCGTATAGATCCTCCGTAACTGGGCACGTGCGTTGTTGGCAATGCGGATCTGGTCGGGAGTGTAGGCCTTGAGCCATGCGTCGTACTCGGCTCTTCTAGCGACAGTCCTCTCGCTTGCGAGGTGGTTGTAGTGCTTCAGACAGTTAGTATAGTGTGATGCACTGTGAGGCGGACAGGGCTTACTTCAAGCTCAGCGGGGGTCAACTTCTGGAACTCCGCCGTAGCAGCCGGAAGTTGCCCAGTCTTTTGGCCCGGGACACCAGCCAGCTTTCCAGCTAAGAAGACATGGAGAGCAGACAATGACCTGCGGCTCACGGGTTCCTTGAGTGCCTTGGCGCGTAGCTCTCGGAGCTTGACCTTTTGTTGTTCTTCGGGCGTCAAGACCTTCTTGACGCGCTTCTTGGGCGCGGGCTTCTTCGCGGCAGGCTTCTTTGCCTTCTTCTTGGGCGCCGCCTTCTTTGCTGCGGGCTTCTTCTTGGGAGCCGCCTTCTTTGCTGTTGTGGCCGTCTTCTTGGGCGCAGGCTTCTTAGCGGCGGCTGTCTTGACCGCCTTCTTCACCGTCGCCGTGGGCTTGGTGGCGCGCGTAGTTGTAGCATACGACCGGCGGTTCTGGAGAGCAGAGGCGAAGGCGCGTGAGAGGGCGCGCGCATGCGGGTGCTGGGCGGCATTGCGGGCGAGGAGGGCGCGGCCGAGGGTGCGGGCGAGCTGCGGCATGTCGTGTGGGGAGGCCCTGGGGGCGTCGGCTGCCAAGCGGCAGAGTGCGCCGGCCAGCATCGTGAGAATTCGGGGGCGTGTCGTCGGGGCGCGTGGTGGAGGAATTGACGAGCGGCGGCGCAGCTCTGGGCGGGCAATTGACGGGGTGTTTAGGCGTTGGAGCGTCGGCGGTGTAACGAGAGGTTGGGAGCTAGAGAGACTAGCAGGAACGTCATCTAAGGAGGGCGTAGTCAGGCACGCTCTGCGTCTGCATCCTCTACCCCACCATCGCGAAGTCACTGTGCCATCACCGTCGCCAATGTCAATGCGCCAGGGGCCACATATCTTTTTTCAAGCTACGACCGGGTCTCATGTATATACAGTCTATTGCGCAAACATGCACGCTCAACACATCGCATTTATACCAACTACTTGCTTATATCACCTTGTAACTGTTGTCATGTTAGCGAATGATCTGCATGGTGACTGGGAAGCTCATACCTCCACGGGTGGTCCTCGTCGCCGTACTGAATGGCCTCCATCCAGTCCTTCATCTGCTGTGCAATTGGGCCGGCCTCGACGTGGTCTTCGAGCCCGCAGTCAACAAGCTGTCCCTTCCAGCTGATCTTGCGCACCGGAGCGACAATGGCAGCAGTGCCTGCACCGAAGATCTCCATCATGCGTCCCTCGTTGGCAGCGTCGGCCACGTCCTTCATGGTGAACTTGCGCTCCGATACGGTCCAGCCCTTGGGCACCAGACGTTCCCGCGCAAGCTCGAGGATTGAGTCTCGCGTTACTCCCTCAAGAATAGTTCCGTCGAGAGGCGCAGTGAGCAATTCTGGCTTTCCAGTTTCCTTGTTCTTGATAGCGGCAAACAGGTTCATGGTGCCGACCTCGGTGATGAACTCTTCCTCGCCAAACAGCCACAGGTTCTGGTGGAATCCGCGGCTTGCAGCCTGCATCTGCGGGACGATGCAAGGTGCGTAGTTGGCACCAAGCTTCTTGTCTCCCACACCTCCAGGCCACGCGCGCACAGCGTAGTCTGTAGCCTCGAGCGAGATGGCCTTGAATCCGGTTGGGTAGTATGGGCCGACGGGGGAAGCGATCACGTAGAGTAGTGCAGACGCGGGAGGGCCGACGCCGAGGGTGCGCTGAGTGCCGATCATCGTCGGGCGCAGGTAGAGAGAGTAGCCTCGCGCACTGGTGTGGTCAGAGTGTGTTGTAGCCAACAGAGGATTCAGACTGAACGTACTCGGGAACGAAACGCTCATCCTCCTTCACAAACTTGCCAATGAGCTCGATCAAAGCATCGGGGTCGAAAGTGGGCAACGCAATTCGCGCCGATGACTTGTTCAACCTGGCCATGTTCTTGTCCGGCCTGAACAGCCTGATGTTTCCGTTCTTGTCCTTGTAGGCCTTCATGCCCTCGAAGCACTCGAACGCATAGTGGAAGACGCACGTCGCGGGGTCGAGACTGAGGTTCTGGTAGGGGGTAATGCGTGCTGGCAGCCATCCTTCTGTTGCTGTCCATTCGAGCGACAGCATGTGATCTTGAGTACGTGTTAGATGTGAAGTTTGGTGCCATTGGAGCTGTTACCAGAGAAGTTGCGGCCAAAGACAAGTTCTTCATGCGGCAGCAGGTCTTTTGGCGTCGTCGTCCTGGTTATGGAGAGCTTGGTCGGGTCGATATCTTGTATCTTCTCGCCAACAGACTTGTCAGCATGAATGCTGTAGGGTCGCTGGGTCCGACATCGCAGCGACGCGCTGAGCGGTGCTACAGGCGAACGGAAGGCGCCACGGGACAGGCAAGAGAGCAATCGTGAAGACCGCTGCGGAAGCATTGTGAGGGATGCAGTGCAAGCGGAGAGGGTGGGGCGGGAGGAGAGTTGATGCAGGTGGTGGATTCCAGAGTAATGATTATTTTGGGCTACAAGACCGAAGCTGACCGCAGCCTGGAGATATCGGACCTCGCGACACAGTCGCGACAGTCACCTCCGATCGCGCACTGCACCAGCCACCGAACAGGCAATCGTAGGGCGCAAATGACATCTGAATCATCGTCAGCGCGGATATCTGAGGTTATTCGCGTGCTTGGTATCTTGGCCGTTGCTGCATCCACACTGCCCATGTGTGCTGCGTGCGCTCACGTCATGCAAGGCGGGAGACTAGAGGCGGCCCTGGCATCCATGGATCCTTCTCCACAGCTCGCGTGGGGGAACTAACACTTGGCTTTGTCTATCAATTGACTTTTGGGTCTCCGGCATCGTACCGACGAGTCTAGACATTGCGCGACTCCCTGGTGATTATCCCAGGACATTTTGCGGAAAGAGCGACCTGAATGTCTTGATCCTCTCGGCAGTTCCAGCTGTCTGTCTCAGATCTCACGCGCATACCAACACTGCCCACACCAAACATCACAGTCCATGACGCCCTCGCTCGACTCCCACAGTATCGCCCCGCGCGCGAATAGACCACCAGCACCATGTTTTCCAACGCCCTAAAGTCCTTCACTTCCAACATCTCGAGCAACTACACCCTCAGCCCCCAGCCCACGTCGTATTCAGGGCCATGGAAGATATACGACGCGAAGAAGAAGTCGACGGGGAAGGCGGCATCTGTCTTTGTGTTTGAGAAGAAGTCGTTGGAACCACCAGCTGGCGCAGGCTTCGGTGGACGCTCAGCGGCTTCGGGACTCAAACGCGCGCATGAGGAGGTCGTGGAGAGACTCAAGAAAGAGGCCAGTTCTCTAGCTCGGTTACGGCATCCAAGTGTACTGGAGCTGGCTGAACCAGTCGAGGAGACTCGTGGCGGCGGCCTCATGTTCGCGACAGAACCCGTCACCGCATCGCTCGCTGGACTGTTACAAGAAAAGGACGAACAGGAGAAGGCAGGCGGTGTTGGTGGACGCCGCAGCCGATACGTTATCGAAGAAGCCGATGGCCAGAAGCGAAGACGCGAGCTCGAAATCGACGAGCTCGAGATACAGAAAGGGCTGTTACAAATCGCAAAGGGCTTGGAGTTTCTGCACGAGAGCGCTGGACTGGTGCATGCGAATTTGACCCCAGACGCCATCTTCATCAACGCTAAAGTAGGTAGCCACAATGCTACTCAATCTTTACCAACACTTTGCTGATCACCGTGACAGTCTGATTGGAAAATCTCAGGTCTTGGTTTCTCAACACCTCCAGAGAACTCGACGAAGCCCACCTCCGTTACGCCCATCTCGCTCTCAGAAGTCCTCAACTACGACGCGCGCCTGCCACGACACGTTCAGCTGAACATAGACTACTCTTCGCCCGACTTCGTCATGGACAACAACATAACTCCTGCGGCAGACATGTTCAGTCTGGGCATGCTCATCATTGCACTATACAACTCGCCGCACAAGAGCCCGTTGGACTTCAATGGTAGTTCCTCCTCCTACAAGCGGGCGTTTTCTTCGTCTTCCTCGGTTCCAAG